TATATATATATATATATATATATATATATATATATATATATATATATATATATATAAGTTTGTGAGGGTACCACCTCTGGTGCCAATGTGGGGACCCATAGCCTCGGAGAAGAAAATAAAAAGTATTCAGAGGAGACCTTGTGGTTTCTCACTGAACACTAATATTATCTTCTCCTACCACCCCCATTCTTTTGTATGTACACATATATATTTACTTTATTTGAACTTTGTTACAAAAAGGAGTTACATATGGGTTACAAAGATGGTTGTCATAGGTTGTCGAGTTCCTCCAGCTCCTCAGATGGCGGGCAGGAACCCTGGATGCAGTGCGCATTTCCCCTCTGTATCGCCACACTGAGGCGCTGGAAAAGAAAGCTTGCAGCTCTCGGGTCCCTTGTTGTTTCAATGAGCCTAGAACCCAGTTCCTTCAAAAAACTGGTAGCACTTTTACCCCAGGCGCCGAGCGTCTCAGAAGCAATGGGGACAAAAGTGTAGTGGTGATCCAGTTCTCTATACTTACGGGATTTGGCTGCTTCCCTGTGGGTGGCAGCGCCACCTGGTTGTGCAACACTGAGGTTAATGTAGGTGTTAGCCAGGGTTGATACGCACGTGTAGTCCCATACCAACTGCTTGCCATTCTTCCAGGGGTTCACTGTGATACCATCCGGGCGACCAATAAGAGCATCAGAGTTACGGGGCGTTAGGTAACGGGGCTCTCTTTCAGCTGGGCATCCAGCTGTGGTGAGGCTCCTCTTGATGATGTCGTTAACTTCACTGTGCCTCGAGTGCCATCCCCCTGTGCTTTGGCAGAGTAGGCCATGGTGACCGTACCTGTCAGCCACCACCTCGCCGCAAATACACCTATATCTGGTGTGGATTGGGGCAGCAAGGCGGAGGGCCACAGCAATTCGGAGGGCGTGTGGTGTGAGACGCGTGCCAGTTGCCGACATTGGGGTTGCTAACAGGAAATCCCCTGCATGTGGTGCTGCTACTGCTGTGAGGCGAGCAATGTCGTGTTGTGTTGTTGCAGCACCCAGGCACTCTGCAGCAACTTGGTCTACAATGGGACCATCCCAGCTGGATTGCTTGTGGGATTTTGGGGATGGTGGTTGAGGTGATTGGCCTGCACGAGAGGCCCACTCTGTGGCACAGCGTGTAAAATTGGGATCATGTACACCTGCCAGCTGATGTAAGTGGGCAGGTAGAATTTCCTTCACAAGGTCGTCGGATGCTGATAAGGAGGACAGGAAGGCTGGAACAGCGATTTGCGTTGCTGTTCGAACTCCGAGGCCCCCAAGTCTTACGGGAAGAGAGGCTTGTTTCCACTGTAGGTCATCGAGAGAGAGGTTAAGGGCTTTTTCTAGCATTGATTTCAGTAACCGGTCATACTCACTTAGTTTTTGGCTACTGTAAGATGGTGAACACCTCAGAAAGTAGGTTAACCTGGGGAGGGACAGACATCTGGTGATGAGGTAGAGTGCATCATGAGCATCAATATCCTCAATCCTCCCATCCATCTTCTTAAGGTCGGCGGTATATAGTCGGTTAAGGTATATATATATATATATATATATATATATATATATATATATATATATATATATATATATATATATATATATATATATATATATATATATATATATATATAATGAATATTATGTCCAGAAGCGGAGGAGCTTCAAGAGATCCGTAACCTTTAGGCATTGTCTTGTATGTTTTGTAACCTTTAAATACACAATAAAGGAAAAAAAAAAAAAATATATATATATATATATATATATATATATATATATATATATATATATATATATATATATATATATATATATATATATATATATATATATATATATATGTGTGTGTAGGCAAAACAATTAAGAGGATAATTGGTGACCTTTTTCCTTGTTTATTATTGTATGTCTAAACACTGGAATATTATTGTTAATATTGTGCTCTTAATATACATTATTACTGTGAATATAATTACTGGTGTCAGGATACACTGAGCGATGTACCAGGCATCTCAGTGTATATACACTGAGAGATGTACCAGGCATCTCAGTGTATATACACTGAGAGATGTACCAGGCATCTCAGTGTATATACACTGAGAGATGTACCAGGCATCTCAGTGTATATACACTGAGAGTTTCATTGTGTGCTGATTAGTAAGCTATTGTGGTTGGCCTTAATAGCCCTTTCTCAGCTGATAGACTCTCAGACCAACATGATAGACTTAATGACACTAAGCCAGTCATTATCATTAACTGTTCCATAATGCTCTTAATTATCATGGGGGTATTTTAAAACACGGCTCACTCACAACAGAACGTGTCATTACCTAATAACTGCTTCGTGTAACAAGCCCAATCACAGTGCTGAGATAAGCCGCGATTAATGATGAACCAACTCATTTAATGGTAATTCGGTCGTTAATTCCTGCATTTTATATTTACGATCAGCCTTTTCTTTGTGACGTGAAGGGAAGGGAACTATCAGGAGGAAAGCGCCAAGCCACCACAGCTATATAACACTGGGAAGGGGTCAGGATAAGGATTTGGGATGGGACCGGGGGGGGGGGGGGGGGAGGAATGGTGTGCCCAACCACTTAGACATTCGGAGATTGAACGCTGACCTGCATGAAGCGAGAACATGGCTCTACCGTCCAGTTCAAGTGGTTGGACTGGAGATGTGGAGGATCAAGGTTGTGATACACAGTGGTTTGGTTGTTTAAGAGAAGATCCAGCTTTTGATAGGGAGGAGAATATGGGTTGTTGGTGGTTATGATGGTGGCAGAGATGGTGTGGTTGTTGATAGTGGTGGTTGTTTGTGGTGGTGGTGATGGTGGTTGTTTGTGGTGGTGGTGATGGTGGTGTCTGTGGTGTTTGTGGCGATGGTGGTGTCTGTGGTGTTTGTGGTGATGGTGGTGTCTGTGGTGCTTGTGGCGATGGTGGTGTCTGTGGTGTTTGTGGTGATGGTAGTGTCTGTGGTGTTTGTGGTGATGGTGGTGTCTGTGGTGCTTGTGGCGATGGTGGTGTCTGTGGTGCTTGTGGTGATGGTGGTGTCTGTGGTGTTTGTGGCGATGGTGGTGTCTGTGGCGTTTGTGGTGATGGTGGTGTCTGTGGTGTTTGTGGCGATGGTGGTGTCTGTGGTGTTTGTGGTGATGGTGGTGTCTGTGGTGTTTGTGGTGATGGTGGTGTCTGTGGTGCTTGTGGCGATGGTGGTGTCTGTGGTGTTTGTGGTGATGGTGGTGTCTGTGGTGTTTGTGGCGATGGTGGTGTCTGTGGTGTTTGTGGCGATGGTGGTGTCTGTGGTGTTTGTGGTGATGGTGGTGCTTGTGGCGATGGTGGTGTCTGTGGTGTTTGTGGTGATGGTGGTGTCTGTGGTGTTTGTGGTGATGGTGGTGTCTGTGGTGTTTGTGGTGATGGTGGTGTCTGTGGTGTTTGTGGCGATGGTGGTGTCTGTGGTGTTTGTGGTGATGGTGGTGCTTGTGGCGATGGTGGTGTCTGTGGTGCTTGTGGTGATGGTGGTGTCTGTGGTGTTTGTGGCGATGGTGGTGTCTGTGGTGTTTGTGGTGATGGTGGTGTCTGTGGTGTTTGTGGCGATGGTGGTGTCTGTGGTGTTTGTGGTGATGGTGGTGTCTGTGGTGTTTGTGGTGATGGTGGTGTCTGTGGTGCTTGTGGCGATGGTGGTGTCTGTGGTGTTTGTGGTGATGGTGGTGTCTGTGGTGTTTGTGGCGATGGTGGTGTCTGTGGTGTTTGTGGTGATGGTGGTGTCTGTGGTGTTTGTGGCGATGGTGGTGTCTGTGGTGTTTGTGGTGATGATGGTGTCTGTGGTGTTTGTGGTGATGGTGGTGTCTGTGGTGCTTGTGGCGATGGTGGTGTCTGTGGTGTTTGTGGTGATGGTGGTGTCTGTGGTGTTTGTGGCGATGGTGGTGTCTGTGGTGTTTGTGGTGATGGTGGTGTCTGTGGTGTTTGTGGTGATGGTGGTGTCTGTGGTGTTTGTGGTGATGGTGGTGTCTGTGGTGTTTGTGGTGATGGTGGTGTCTGTGGTGTTTGTGGTGATGGTGGTGTCTGTGGTGCTTGTGGTGATGGTGGTGTTTGTGGTGATGGTGGTGCCTGTGGTGATGGTGGTGTCTGTGGTGCTTGTGGTGATGGCGATGGTGGTGTTTGATGGTGCTGTGGCTGATCGCAGTTGTGAGGCAGACATAAAGCCACGAGGTTTGCTGTTGGGATTAAAACCTTCCCACCTTCGGAGGGTCACTAAGGCACCACACATGTTTACTGACCAGTTATCAAGTAACCTCCAGTTATGAATATACTCCAGAGCTCAAGCAAAGTCTCAAAGTATATACAAAGAGAAGAAGGGCTTACCTCCCGGTGAATATATATACCTGTGTTAAGCCAGTGTCTGGTTATTGACGTTAATTACACTTGTACTTACACAAGACTAGCAGCGGGCCCAGAGTGGTGGGCGTTCTCCTCTCTCTGTTTACACAGTAAATCTATGAAACGCAGCGACGTGCAAAAGGGCATCTTCGTCTCCGCTAAGCATTTGTCGTATTCTCCACCACTCCCCACCACTCTCCACCACTCCCCACCACTCCCCACCACTCCCCACCACTCCCCACCACTCTCCACCACTCTCCACCACTCTCCACCACTCCCCACCACTCCCCACCACTCACCACCACTCCCCACCACTCTCCACCACTCCCCACCACTCTCCACCACTCCCCATCACTCTCCACCACTCCCCACCACTCTCCACCACTCCCCACCACTCTCCACCACTCCCCACCACTCTCCACCACTCTCCACCACTCTCCACCACTCCCCACCACTCCCCACCACTCCCCACCACTCTCCACCACTCCCGTCTGGTAGTAAAGTGGTTGTTAATCCAGCCAGTAAATCCCTTGTTTATGGATGAGAAACTATTTACACACAACTCACAGCTGGTGACGTTTTGAACATTTCTCGAACTGTGCTTCGCTGATGATCTCTACTCGACCCACAACGCTGTACATGCTTCACCCTCGTACTGCACGTACTACTACACGTACTGCACGTACTACTACACGTACTGCACGTACTACTACACGTACTGCACGTACTACTACACGTACTGCACGTACTACTACACGTACTGCACGTACTACTACACGTACTGCACGTACTACTACACGTACTGCACGTACTACTACACGTACTGCACGTACTACTACACGTACTGCACGTACTACTACACGTACTGCACGTACTACTACACGTACTGCACGTACTACTACACGTACTGCACGTACTACTACACGTACTGCACGTACTACTACACGTACTGCACGTACTACTACACGTACTGCACGTACTACTACACGTACTGCACGTACTACTACACGTACTGCACGTACTACTACACGTACTGCACGTACTACTACACGTACTGCACGTAGTACTACACGTACTGCACGTAGTACTACACGTACTGCACGTAGTACTACACGTACTGCACGTACTACTACACGTACTGCACGTACTACTGCACGTACTACTACACGTACTGCACGTACTACTACACGTACTGCTCGTACTACTACACGTACTGCACGTACTACTACACGTACTGCACGTACTACTACACGTACTGCACGTACTACTACACGTACTGCACGTACTACTACACGTACTGCACGTACTACTACACGTACTGCACGTACTACTACACGTACTGCACGTACTACTACACGTACTGCACGTACTACTACACGTACTGCACGTAGTACTACACGTACTGCACGTACTACTACACGTACTGCACGTACTACTACACGTACTGCACGTACTACTACACGTACTGCACGTACTACTACACGTACTGCACAATCGCCAACAGAACCTGAACACCTAACTTAACCTAACCTATGGATAACTATACATAAAACTTTAATGTATAATAATATTTCGGTATATTTAATAACAAAAGTATTTTGAATACACAGAATGTTAAAATTAATGAATGCGTTTCTGGAGGGGGAGAGGAACGGCCGCCGCTTTATCGAGCCTGGCCTGAGGACACGATAAAATACCAATAATGTCCAATAGAACCTAACCACCTAATCTAACCTAAGTTAGACCTAACTATTCAACACATTCTAGTATGTAATAACATTGCCTTGTAGTTGAGAAAACAATTAGTACACAGCAGGCTAACAGTGAGGATGGCGCTGTTGGTGTGGTCTTTACCTGGACCAGCCTGGCCTGAGGACAGACCACGTCCACCGCCCTGCCAGCACAAAGTGGTCTACGCACACTAAGCGACCCGCTTGTGACAAGTTACTGACCTGTTCAAAGTTACTGAGATAGAGAGTGTACCCTGCGGTGCCCGGGGGAGTTTGTCTCTCCCCCTCATTCCCCCCTTTTTCCCTTCTTTACTCACCCTCTCCCTATATAACCCCTCCCCCCTCTCTTGAACCCCCTTCCTCCCTCTTCCACACCTATTCTGCTTCTCCAACTCTCACATTCCGTTCTCCCTTCCGGCCCCCCTCCCATTTTCACCCTTCTTCCCTTCAGGGCTTTGGAATCGGTACATAAATCCTCCGACACCGACACCGACACCCACACCGACACCGACACCCACACCGACACCGACACCGACACCCACACCGACACCGACACCCACACCGACACCCACACCGACACCGACACCGACACCGACACCGACACCCACACCGACACCGACACCGACACCGACACCGACTTAGGCTCAGACTCCGACTGCAACTCCTCAATTTATATATCAAGCAGATAATAAATAATAAATGCACAAATTATTTATTTATAGAGGTTGCAAGCAGGTAACACATAAGGCCTATATTCCCTCACACCCAGAGTGAGTCATCAGCCATCTGTGGGAACCCTGTCATTACCTCGAGTGGACAGTATGTCGAGATCATGTCCCCTACGCCTGAGTCCCGTCTTGGTCCCACATATGGCACTCGGAGCACGACCTTTGGCACCAAGTAGTAGAGGAAACAATGTTTCCTTAAGTTATATACTTCCTGTTCGTTAACAACCCCCTCGAGGCCATTATGAGGTCTGTGATTCACCCAGAACTTTATTATGAGGAAGCACTAAGACAATTTTATTGAATTTATTAATACAATACAATAAAAAACTGTGTGGGAAATATTTCACAAATGACCATAAAAATAGCTTGGTGGGTCTTTATAAATGCAAATATTTCTTAAAACATTACACCTAACCCGACCCCGACCAGCCTATGTCAGTCCCGTACCCCAGACCAGTCCCCCTGTGACGTTGGGTGAAGCTAACCCAAGGCGTCAGGCTTCCAACCTTGGATACACAGACATTCTCACCATTAGATATAAACTGACACAATTATTTAATGTCATCTTGTAAGCTATTGCAATGTCAAAAGATGTTGCATAGATTTTATATTAATTATGCATTATCAAAGCTTCCAACAGATTAATCTTTGCCCCGGGTTTTAAACTATATAAAATCTAAATGCAATATTAAATGAAAAATACTGTACGATATTACATTACATAATAGTGTAAGAGAAATCTATGTTATTCAAACAATGTTGAATTTAATTTAGAATATGAAGTGAACACGGCATTAGTAGTAGTAATAGCAGTAAGCATCTACCAGTCTCAGGAGACTATAGAGTTGTGCTCTGGTTGTTGGTCTGGAGTGACCTCTCCAGGGCGCAAAGCCAGGGTAGGTTGATACGTAGGAGAAGCTGTCACCCATGCAGCAAGTCCCTCCCTCTCTCAACGGCGCCGAACGTCTCCAATGGAAAGACAACCGCTAACACGATTGGTTCCAGCGCCGTCGCAGGAACTGTCAAAACGAGGTTGAAGGCAACAACGAGCTGCCCCTCGGGGCTCCAGCTCCTTCCAGTGAAGGAAAGAACAAGGAAAACTTAGACATATCACTTTCCACGCGGCATTACAGGGCATAATAATGCTATATTGGTCATAGTGCTCAAGAAATAATTAAAGTGACGTACCTTAAACACTGATCACTTTACATGTTTATGTGGCAAATGATATGTCTATGTTTTCCTTGTTATGTTTTCCTTGTTATGTTTTCCTTGTTATGTTTTCCTTGTTATGTTTTCCTTGTTATGTTTTCCTTGTTATGTTTTCCTTGTTATGTTTTCCTTGTTATGTTTTCCTTGTTATGTTTTCCTTGTTATGTTTTCCTTGTTATGTTTTCCTTGTTATGTTTTCCTTGTTATGTTTTCCTTGTTATGTTTTCCTTGTTATGTTTTCCTTGTTATGTTTTCCTTGTTATGTTTTCCTTGTTATGTTTTCCTTGTTATGTTTTCCTTGTTATGTTTTCCTTTGAACAAGAACTGTGTCTCCAAGCTTAATTATCTGTTCCTTTGGATGTTGATCATGAGTAATTTACATGTTGGTGCCGGATAGTTCATCGTGAGCGTGTGTCGCCTCAGCGGGCACGGCAGGAAGTGTGATCCTGGTGGGACGTGCAACACCAGGCGACCTGCCCGGTGTTGCTGGTGGTGTTGCACGATAGTTGCTGAGAAAAACATACATGGCTTGCTTCCTGCAGCATCCTTATGCATGAGCACAGCATAATGCTATCACGGGAGGTTGCAAGAATCATCAGATTTCTCCGTTTTGTTTGTGGATGTAGCGACATCACACGACTGTCTTTGAATCCAATATCCTGAGTATAGTTGCTGAAATCTTGCTCACTGAATGGCTGTCCGTTGTCAGGCTTGACAACTTCAGGTGTACCCAAATTCGAAACGCTCTTGTGCAGTGTTGGGATGACGGTTGTGCAGATGTGACGGTCATGATATCAACGCCAGGATAACGTGAGTGATAACCGATGTCTACCATTAGGTACTCTCCAGCTGGTGGCGATCCGCAGAAGTCCATCGATGCTTCCTCTATGATACAGCAGTGGCCAAGGTTACACAGGTGATGGAAAAATCAGTCAGAGAATTCAGCAACAATTGCATCTACATTGTTCATAGTGTAGACTGCTACAGCATTAGAAAGCTGTAGAAGCTCTTTATCTGGCAGACGTTTTTATAGTTAAGCAGATTCCTTTGCATGCTTAACAATAAGGTAAGTTACGGTAATGTCTTCTCACAGACATAATGACATAGGATAAAAACCCACACTTGTGTATTTGTGAAATTTATGTAAGGCATTTACACCAAGTCTTTCCCACTGTTCTGAGTGGTCAAGGTCTGAGTGTGTGGTGAGGACGAGACTATCCAGATGTTGTTGTTTTAGATTTAGCTACTCAGAACGCAATGTCCATGTAACACGGGTTACAGTGAGCCCGTAATGCTATCCTGGATTCATTCCTCTTCCAATCATATCCATCCTGGGCCCAATCCTCTTGTTCTTATTGACCTACTGACCAGGTCACCACTATTCCCAACTGCTGATGTACCTGTGGTAATGTCTTCTATGGAATTATGGTCAGGTGTCCTGTCTGTAATGATGCTATTCTGGGACCTGTAGTTGTTATTACTAGAGGTGTCCACCTATCCCTCCTAACACTCTCTAACCCTCTCTAACCCTCTTTAACCCTCTCTAACCCCTCTCTATCCCCTCCTAACCCTCTCCATACCCCCAAGGGACGCAGTGGCTAGTGGGACTGAATGCTTTCATAGAGGAATTTCCTGGAAGCTTCACGACCCTTCACGATTCAGTTGAATCACAAGTCTCATTACTTTTTAACATATCGTGGTTTGGTGGCTTAAGGCATGTGCTTCAGAGTACCCAGTGTGAGGGTTCGAATCCTCTTCAAAGGCTAGAACTGGTTTTATCATTGATACATCACGTTAATGGGATATTTTTTTTGCAGTATTTTTATTATTATTAGTAGTAGTAGCAGTTGTAATATTATTATTAAAATTATTATAATTAGTAATATTAATAAAAAAATTCTTATTGTTATTAAAATTATTGTTATTATTAACATTATTAATATTATTAATATTATTTGTACGTGAGTAGCGACACACAAGACCGACAATCATCACCTCTACAGTGACACTCTGGCTCTCTATCACAGTTGACAGTGACAAAGGCTGTTATGGTAGCTTAACTAGACAAAAATATTTTTCACCGTATTTCCATATTCTTCCATTGCCGACAGTGAAAAAATTCATCGCAGTTCACATAAAAAAAAAATACATTCACATTGAAACATGTTTTTTGCATTAGTTCAAAGGTGCCTTTTAAAATTATTTTAAATATGATGGGGGAATCCTATCAAATAAAAACAATAGTGAAGAAAAGTTAGCAATAAAAGCCTTGTGAACGTAACGTTTCGGACGCTTTACTACCTCACCAAGCACGAAACAATATGACGACTCGTGGATAAGGCTTATCAACGTGCAGTAGGATCCGGCTTAAGCGGATTATATTTAATTATATTTCCTAACCGGCTCAGTTCGTACGGACATGAAATTATGCTCGAGTAATTGGATAGTGTTTACCAAAACAACGAGTGTGTCATTGTACCGAGGTAACAGGTGGGTGTGTCATTGTACCGAGGTAACAGGGTGGGTGTGTCATTGTACCGAGGCAACAGGGTGGGTGTGTCATTGAACCGAGGTAACAGAGGGTGTGTGTCATTATACCGAGGCAACAGGGTGGGTGTGTCATTGTACCGAGGCAACAGAGGGTGTGTCATTATACCGAGGCAACAGAGGGTGTGTATCATTATACTGAGGCAACAGAGGGTGTGTGTCATTGTACCGAGGCAACAGAGGGTGTGTGTCATTATACGGAGACAACAGGGGGTGTGTGTCATTGAACCGAGACAACAGGGGAGTGTATCATTGTACCGAGTCAATAGGGGAGTGTGTCATTGTACCGGGACAACTAGGGGAGTGT